ATGGCTCTCTCTGAAAAGAACTGTCATTCTCTGCCTATTTTAGGTGAGAAAAGTTCTTTCTATGCACGTGATAATTAAAAATTCCCCACCTGTCAAAGGCCAACCCACTCATAAAAGGGAGATCACATATATGTATTGTTGCAAGAGAAATTCAGCTACTCCTGAAAGAGTGGCCATGCCAGTTCTGTCTGGTAGAGGAAATAGGAGCACTGTGCTGGAAATTCTGCTCTGGTGAAACCCCATCTCTTTAGGCAAGGAGCAGGGCTGGCGGGGTTCCGGGAGGGTGATCAAAGACAAGACTGGAGACTCCCAGCATCCAGGAGCCATGCTGGATAGGGATCAGGTGACGGAGAAGTCCCAGCCCTGCTGACGGCAGCTAGGTGACGGCGGTGGGTCACAAGCACAAGCGAGTGCTATGGGAAGAAAAGACAGGGGATGCGAGCCAGACAGAAGGGGATAAGCCAAGCCAGAAACAGGTGCAGAAGTGGCTCTGCCTAGGGCGGTGAGAAGACGCGCATCTGACTTTATGAAGAGCTCACCTAGTCCCGACTGCCTCGACTCCAACTGAGTTCAGACCAGACCAGAGAGCATCTGAGTTCCTGCTGACTCCTCCCCACCAATGCTAAAACCCACTGCAGTATAAAACTGCGGATTCAGAGGCTATTGATCTGTGATCTGCTACTTGGTGGCCAAGCCAACAACTGCTACCACCTTTAGAAGACTCCTTTGCATCCATGATATACTTTCCTCTGGAGAGGTCAAAGCAGCACTGGAAACAAAAACAGGCATTCAAGTCCTATATGTGCTCTCCTGTCCCTCAACTCAATAACTTGTGGGCCACAGCAGAAAACATAGCTGACCCCAGGCACAGCTGCCCTCCACTCTGCACTTTGACTACATACTCCTGTATATAAAAAATGTCCTGAGTTGGGAAAATCTACTTGATTTGGAAGAGTTCACCAGCTTCCTGGAAACAAGCAGGATACATTAGCAGGAGCTGGGGAAGGGGCTGTATGGCCAGAGTAATTATGCTCATAAGCCACAAAAGTGGACTTGCTGATGTGACTCATGAACCCACAGAGCTCCACGGCAGAGTGAGCTTTGACTTGGACCTCACTGCGTGGCATGGTCACCAGCCCTTCTGTGTGTCTCTGCCTCTAAGACCACGGATCTGGACAGGCATGAAAACAGAGCCACTTCATGAATCTGGAAAACAGACTGAGCTAATTCTGTTTGCAGAAGTCAATCTGCAATCTTATCAGATCTCCAACACTCAACTGTGTCCCATAAGGTAAAAATGCAGGCTGCTACCATATCCAAAACCACTGACGCAGTCATCAAATGCTGTTGTGCACCAGCTCTGTGCTGGGCTCTGGGACAGGCACCAAGACTGAGGTATCAACAAAACAGATGACTGCCCTCCAGAGGTGACACACTGGAAGGGAAACAGACAATGACTGGTAAGTCAGGGTAATGAGAGCTGTGCAGAGTGGGAAAGCAGGATGGGAGGACAGGGGTGAGTGGGAGACCCCCTCAGCAGGGGACTGAAACAAAGCCCTGGAGGTGGCAAGGGACAGCCTTGCAGGCAGAGGGAAAGCTGAGGGCCTCGTCATCCCAGCGGTGGTCCCAGTGGAGAATGTAGGCCCAGGACTGAATCCACCTGGAAATGCTGTGCATTTTAGTGGAAAGGGCTTCTTTCAAAAAAGGGCTTAAGGGCCGAGCCCGTGGCGCACTCGGGAGAGTGCGGCGCTGGGAGCGCAGTGGCGCTCCCGCCGCGGGTTCGGATCCTATATAGGGATGTAGGGATGACCGGTGCGCTCACAGAGCTCACTGGCTGAGCGTGGTGCGGCCGGTCTCAAAAAGGACAAAAAAAAAAAAAAGAATGAACTCTCTCAATACATCTAAACATATGATTCATTCTAAATGTTCTTTAAGAACATTGTTTTGTCCAGTGTTAGGAAAGCAAGAAAGAATACAGCATGTTTAGGGAGGTCAATCCATTTGATGTTGAGGATGAAAACAGACTAAACTGGCACTATTGCAACTAAGCATACTGCTACCCCCTAAGTAACCTTAAAACGAAAGACAGAAATCCTGAGAGTTTGCTTTCAGAAGCACAACTGTACATGAGAAATGGCATCGTCCAGTCCTGTGGACAAGACATGGGGACAAGAAGCCTGTTTCTATTCTCTGGTGGATGGCAAGCCCTTTCAGAACTGGAACCACACATTCTGAAGGCTCCAGCCCAAGACTCTGGGGTGGTGGGGCCACTCCGCAGCCCAAGACTGTGGGTCCAGTGGAGGCCAGCTTTTCTGGCAAGTGTAGGCCAAAACTTGGATTGTTGTGAGATCTGAATGAAAAGAAAACACACCTGCAGCCCATGGACCTATGGAGAGTCTCGGGCCATTTCCTAACACGGAGCTCTCGAACCCCTCCCTGCATTTTGCCCCAGTGGGTGGGGCTGACACAGGGAGTCCTGGGATGGAGCCACGGCTGTCACTTCACAGTCTATCTTGGTCCTTATTAAGCTTTTTACAGAAGATCTTAAAACTTCATCCAGTCAAACACGGAAAAACATCCACGCTCACGGATGGAAAGACTTAATATTGTTACAATGGCAATACTCCCAAATTGATCTTGATTTAATAAATCCCATTTAAAATCCCCAGCTGCCTCTTTTTGGGTAGAAATTTACAAGTTGATCCTAAAATCATATGGAAATGCAAGGGACCCAGCATGGCCAAAACAATCTTTTTTTTTTTTTCCTTTTTTCGTGTCCGGCAACGGATCGCAACCCTCAGTGTCGTGCCCGTACTGGACCAGGACCGGCAACGGGATCACAGCCCTCGGTGTTGCGCCCGCACCTCGCTCAGCCAGTGAGCGGGAACCGGTCTGTATGTGGGATCCGAACCCTCGGCGGGAGCGCCACCGCACTCCCAAGCGGCGCACTGTAGCAGTGCGCCACCGGGCCGGCCCCAAAACAATCTTGAAAAATAAAAAAGTTGGAGACTCACATGTCCTGATTTCAAACTTCAAGCAAAGCCACAGTAATTAAGAGGGTGTGGTGTTGGTATAAGGACAAACACATAGACCAATGGAAGAGAACTTAGTCCAGAAATAAACCCATATATTGTCACTTGATTTTTGACAAAGGTGCCAAGACCATTCAATAGTGAAAAAAGTATCTTCAGTGAATGGTGCCGGGAAACTGGCTATCTACATGCACGAGAACAAAGTTGAACCTTACCTTATGTCACATATAAAAAATTAACTCAAAATGCATCAGAGGTCTGAGTGTAAGAGCTAAAACTATAGAACTCTTAGAAGACAACACAGGAATAAATCTGTGACCTTGGATTTGGCAACGGTTATCTTAGATGTGACACCAAAAGCACAAGCAATGAAACAAAAAATAAATTGAAATTTTGTGCTTTTAAGGACATCATCAGAAAGAAAAACAACACCTGTATAATGGGAGAATGTATTTGCAAATTAGACATCTGATAAGGGACTTGTATCTGGAATATATAAAGAACTCCTATAACTGAATAATAAAAAGATAACCAAGTTAAAAAATTGGCAAAGGATCTGAATACATATTTTTCCAGAGAAGATATATGAATGGCCAAGAAGAATATGAAAAGATGCTCAATATCATCAGCCACCGGAAAAATGCAAATCAAAATAATGAGATCCACCTTGCACCTGCTGAGATGGCCACAATAAAAGACACATGATAGTAAGTGCTGATGAGGATGCAGAGAGATTAGAACCTTCACACACTGCTGGTGGGAGTGTAAATTGGTGTGGCTATTTTGGAAAACAGTATGGCAGCTCCTCAAATAGTTGAACACAGAATTACCATATGACCCAGCAATTCCACTCCTAGGTGTACACCCAAGAAAAACAAGAACTTACGTCTACACAAATGTTCACATTCACAATAGCCAATAGGTGGAAACAACCAATGTTCATCAATAGATGAATGGACCGCCAAAATGTGGTCCATCCACAGAAGTTTTTACTCAGCCGTAAGAAGGAATGAAGTGCTCCTACATGCTACAACATGGACAAACCTTGAAAACTTTACCCTAAATGAAAGAGCACGTATTGTATGATCCTATGTACATGAAATGTCCCGAGTAGGCAGATCCAGACACAGAAAGGAGACCGGTGGTGGGGGGGGACTGGAGAGGTTTGGGGAAAGTGGGAAGTGACTGCTGATAGGCACAAGATTTCTTTTTGGGAGACGAAAAGTATTCTACAGCTGATTGTGCTGATGGCTGCTCAACTGTGCGAATGTACTAGAAACCCCTGAACTGTACATTTTAAATGGGTACACTGGTACCCACATGAATTACATCTCAATAGAGCTGTAAACACACACATACCCACACTTCACCCAGTTCTGATTTTCTAATGAGGACCATCCATTCTGTTCTAGTATTCAAGTATGTTCAGGGAGGCGCAGGAGGGAATGTCCTAAGCCCCAGGGCCTGGCCTATCTCTCTGGCCTTTGCTGGGGCCGTTGCTCTGCCTCCCACAGAGCCCACACCAGTAGCACTCATGCCAGCCCTGCTAGCCATTCTGCCACCAGAGCGCCACACTGCAGTCAGCAAGGCTGATGCCCTGCAGGAAACAACTTCCTGGCCCTGGCCAGATGTGCTCTGGGATTCAGAACTCTCCTGATTTAGGTCAGTAACATGGTGCACACTGCATGCAGTATGCGACCTGCAAGTTACACCTGGGGCAGCTCCTACTACTTGAGGCAACTATATGTGTTTTCATGCAGTTTCTGGTGGGATCAAGAAGAATGAGAACAGCCTCCAACAGTTCAGGCAGATGCTGAAGCCCCAGGAGGTTCACAGCAAGACCCTGAGTTAGGAGAGGTCTGGGGACTGAGGGCGGGGGCTGTATGTAGCAGAAGAGGGACACGTGGGCCACAGGGACCAGCACGAGAGCTGCAGGCCGGAGCCCCTCCTCCCAGGGCCCTGGCCTACCTGGGCGGCTGAGGGGAGCGGGGCTTCGGCTTCTCCTTCTCCTTTTCCCGCTCTTTCTCCCGGTCGCGTTCTCGGTGCTGTCTGTCCTTCTCGTCACGCTTGGCTCGCTCGCGCTCCCACTCCTCCTTCCTCCGCTGCCGCTCCTTGTCGCGCTCACGCTCCCGCTCACGCTCCCGCTGCCGGCGCTCCCTCTCCCGGTCTCGCTCCCGTTCCCGCTCCCGCTCGCGCTGTCTGTTCTCTCTCTCTCTTTCTCTCTCCCTTTCCTTTATTAAAAAGCCAAACACACACACACAAGCTATGATGTAAATACTACAATGTAAACACTATTGTATCTCCTTAAAACACAATGTTAAAAAATGGATTACATCTAAATTAATGTGGCACACAACCTAACAGTGCCGTCATTCCAACCACTGACTCTAGGCTGACTCAGGTTGAGAACTCTGCACCCATGGGCCGATGTGAACTGAGGATTGAGCTCTCCTGCTGCATGACCTGGGCAAGACCCTCAGCCACTGCAGGGTGGAGGTGGCTGGGACGCCTTGCAGGGCCAGGGTGCGCCTGCATGGCAAGGTGTACACGAAGCTCTCCACCCAGCAGTGTCCGGAGCAGTGGGTGCCCATGAAGGAGGCTGTTTTTCTAGGACAACCTTCAAACACACTCTTGAGCTGACACTCTGCTTATCTATTCATTTGAGTATTAAAGCAAATACTCAAAGCTAAGACTGAATGAAGTCCAGTCACAGTACATCTGATGGGTGCTGGGCTTTAGACCATCTCGGGGGATGTGCACTGTGCTCCCTGGCCTTCTTGCTGGCCCGCCCCTTGGACCCAGCAGGGAAGGAACGTGGAGGAGGGCGGCTCCCTGGGCTGCTCCTACTGGGACCCTGTAGCCCCACAACAACAAGGAAGCTGCTCTATAGGGGAGATCAGGCATGGGTGGTCCAAAGAAGGGGGTGTTGTCTGGAACTATGGGGAGTGCCCCTCTTTGCACAAGCTCACCATCTGATGGGCTACTGGGGCAACCACCTCCCTTTGGTCCTAAAAAATCATGACTATGTCATTAAGTCAAAGCACAAAAACTGCTCAGCCGCTTCTAACTGATCCAGGGGCAGCTTTTAATCTTAATCAGGGACTCACAGTCTCAAGCACATATATTCATAAATACACTAACCTCTCAGAGGCTCCGACTGACTCAGGAGGAAATACCAATCAACACAGAACAGTGTTCTATTAGATCAATAAGGTGAGGCAGGCCCACAGGAACGTCCTTAAAAAGTCGACAAAACGCAGGAGAATGTGCCCTAAAGTTGTAAATGTTACCACTGAAGAGCCTAAGAAGAGCAGTATGCTCAAGAGGGCGAAACACACTCCCTTGAAAACTTGAGTAATAACCTCATTAACAAATCTAATTTTTTAAAAAAACGAGTAAAACTAAGTTTAAAGAAAAAACGAGAAAAATAAAGTTTTCAGGAAAGTCCCTGTTCAAAGTACTACAAATTTAATTAGTGGATCTGAATCAGTCTTCCATAAAGAATAAATTTGGGCTTGAAATTAGTACATGTGCCAACAAAATAAGCTCACATAAAGTTCTACCAATAAAAAAAGGGTAATTTTGATAATGAGACCAGTGAAGTCCATATTTTCAGGTCTGTTATACTTACTCGGTAGTTATGATATGGTTCTGCGTCTGTATATTGCACCCTGAAGTTCTCGTACTGTCCACCACGCCAAAACCGCTCTATTTCATAGTCATAATAAGGATCTGCATAAGGCTCAAGTCTGGAAAAAAACACCAAAATTGTAAAGCTTATCACTTAGGAATATTAGTGCAAAAAAAAATTACATGTTAGTGCACAGAATGCAACACCAAATTGAGAAAACAATACACCATGACTAAGTGGGGTTTATTCCAGGAATGCGAGATTGAATCAGGATTGGGAAACCCACTAATACACCACACATAAGGACAGACCTGAGGAGAAGTCAGAGGCTACACCCACAGATGACCATAATTCAATACCCACTCTTCACGAAAATACTTGAGAAGACAAGGATTGATACTTTCTTAATGTGATAAAAATACAGAAGTAAAGCCAGCATCCTGCTTAACGGGGAAGTGGGAGAGCAATTTCCACGAGGACCAGGAGGCAACAAGATCCATGGCCTCCCCGACTGTCTGGTGGTGTGTGCAGGCAGCACCAATGCAGCTGGACGAGAGGAGTCCAAACATGGCGAAGACCATGACGAAAAGGAGTGAAGCATCTGCACTTGGAAACTGTCTGACAATGTGCGTAGAAACCCAGGGACTCAGTTATAGAGCCATCTCAAAAGGACAGACAGAAAGGAGCTCAGTGAGGCTGGAAGAGGAGAAGCTGACACACAGAAATCAATGTCTTCATATATGCAGATGACGACCAGTGAGGAGACAGTAAATACAGAAAATAGCCAGAAATGTGCAGTGCCTATTCCTGAAAGACCCTGTGCTTGGGCAGAGTGGCCTGACTTCACCAACACATCAATTCTTCCTACACTGATTTATAAATTTAAGGCAATCCCAGGAAAAACACCAACAAGCTTCTTTATGGAACTAGACAAGCTGACACCCAAGTTCATACCAAATAGAAAGACAGACACACAAGCCCAGCTAAGAAAACCTTGGAAAAGACATGCCTTCTGAGGCCTCACAGCATCCTAAAAAGACTCTGTAATTAAACTGGTGTCATCGCGGCCTGTGAAGAAACACATGGCCAGCGGGAGAAAGCGGCAAGTCCAGAGACAGACGCAAGGGCACAAAAGGAAGGTGGAATCTCACAGGGCAGAGGGTCACTTTCCACTGAATGGAGATGAGGTAACCCACTTACCCCAGGACGGAGGTCAGACTGGAGCCCACTTCACGCACACACAAGAACAAACCCCACCTCCCACCGCAGGATGGCACGAGTCCACTCTGGACTTCCAGTGGGGGCCATGGCTCAGCTCCTCCTCTCCCTGGGGCGGGGCAGAGGGAAGTGTACACCAGCAACAGACTGGTCCCCATAGGCTCCTCCAGAGTACTTCTCAGCTCCTGACCAACTCTCCCCTTTGGGTAGAAGGGCAAGAATGTGAGGCACACCTCCACGAGGCCGCAGTCCTGGGCAGCTGCTGACACCCTTGCGGCCACACCTCTTCACCATCTGCACAGTCTGAAACTGCTGCTTTCTAGGAAAACTCTCCACCAGTACTTAAAGTGCCTCCAGCAAAAACTAACCTAAAGCCGGATCAGCCAAATGACACAGCTTTTTTTCATTCCAAACAGCCAGACGTTGTTCAAACAATCCAGCTCACACAGTGCTCAAGCACTATCTGATTGTAACGATCAGTAAATAACTCGCAGGGGCTGTGGTAGTATGACACTATGCTACACAGAAATGAAAGGGAGAAGATGAGCTTCCTGAAACAGACTCTGACGGCGAAAACACAAAAACCACCACAACACAAAATCCATCGAGACTTCAGACACCTTTTTCCAGAATGGGCATGAGGGAGCGCATTCCCTAACGGGCTGTGCAGCAAGTTCACTTGTGGGAAACAGTGCTGAAGCAGAATGAAAAAGGCCTCTTTCTGCAGAGCCTCTGGGCATTGCAGGACAGCTGAGTCATAGACACAGGGAGCCCACAGGATGAGCAGGCAGCATATGCCCAGCCTGGCTTCCTTGGAACCTGCTAGGCGACAGGGCTCCATTCTGTGGGAACATGTCAACACGCTACTGGGAGACGTAACCACACTAACAACGGAATCCTCAGGCACTGCCTAGAAAAATACTGAAAAACAACAGAAATGAACTTGGAGGGATATATGTTTAATTCATTTAATCTGAAAACAAATCCTACTGAACAGTATTGTAGTCTGCACAAATACTTCCCAAACCGTTTTAGGGAATCCAAACTGTGAACGGGCCTTCTGAGAAAATGGTTCCATGGTCAGGGAGACTGGGCAAGCTGGCTTGCGATCAGTAGGCCTCATGGACTCCCCACTCCAAGAGTCTTTGATTAAACAGACACATGGCCATGTGTGTCTCCAGCACACACATGGCCTCCTGCCTCCGCATAGTGGGTGGATATGCACACGAGTAATTTGCATCTCAGACCAGACTCGCTGCACCCTAGGGCTCTGGGCAGCAGCTGCAGACTCAGCACCCCTCACGGGAGAGGAGGCCCAGAGGTCTGGGCAGACATGCCCACCAAGTGTAGCAGAGGTGGTTTCTGTCCACAGCCCTGCCCAGGAAGAGGAGAGGCAGGTGAAAAGTGTAGCCATCAGAGAACGTGCAAGAATTAGAAATTTGGAGCTGGAAGCTTAGAGATGATTTACTTTAACGGCTTCATTTCAAGGACGAGGAAAATGAGGCCTAGAAAATAATCAATACTTGAAAAAATTCTAAAATACCTACTACAACCTACTTTTTTACCTAAGGGTTATGTAATATTACCCAATGAAACACAACTTGCATCAGCCTGATAAAGGTTGAAACTGCACCAGCTGAAGTCCAGAGCCAGGTGGAGGGTGGCTGCACTCCCCAGGGAAGGTGGGAGGCAGAGGGCTGATGTGCCCTCTGTCTGCTGTGGAGACCCCAGGTAAAGAGGAAGATCACAGGCAGCTCACAAAGGGAGTAAAGGTCCTCTCCAATCGACCTGGCTGGTCCCCACCTGCCTGTTCTGATGCTAGCCACTGGGAGGGAACATAGGTGATAAGGTCCCCAAAGGCAGGCAGAGGCATCAGGCACCTACACACCATCCTGCCCTTGCTGGATGTGGGACGCGGGATCACCCACGTGCAGGGCAGGCCATCCCTTACTCTTCAGGAAATCCAACCCCCACCCACTAACACGTGGGGCTTCACTAAAGGGCACCAGCAAATCCCAGGTACAAACCACTTGTAATAAACCACACAAGAGTGAGCATGTGTGAGTTCCTGACGGGCTCAGAGACCTGGTGCATCTAACACCTGGAAATAACATCTAATTCCTTTTCCTCCAACAGGGAAGGCAGAACTCATGTCAACAAGTTTTTCACTGAGCCAGGCAATGTGCTAGTCCACAGGGGATACAAAAGACAGACAGTCCAGGCTGCACACCATCTTTCTGGGGAGGAAGGCGACAGCACTCTCTCAGTTAAGTGTCTGGGACACAGGAGGCACTTAGCCAGCATTCGACAAATCCATTGTCTGAGGAAAGGCATATACTTTCTGAAAACTATTTCTGCTGGTCTCTCTGAATCCCACTTTGTTGTACTGTCCAAAAGAGCAAAAAAGCCTCACGCCCTACCTTCAGAATAGCTGTGCTGGGTCACTTTCTGGGCTGCAAGACATGATGTGGGAGTCAGCGAGGGGGGCACGGTCCCAGGTGCTGGGTGTGTGGCCTAACAGCATGACCTTGATTTAATAAGATGCTCTGTTCATGATGGAACTACACTGCCCATAACCTTATTCCTCATGGGTGACACACTGGGCACACTAGGGTCCCTTACGTCTTCCAGATCACATGCCACTGCTAGAGTTGTGGTCTTGGTACAGTGTCCCTAGCAGCCCTACGCAGGGATGACATTTCTTGATGTCTTCCATGCATGAGGTTTCACAAGTAAGATGGCATCTGAATAAAGTGCTGCAGATGGTGAAAAGGAACTTTTAAGGCCATGAATTGGGGTGTGTCTGTCTAGAAAGGCATTATTTCCACTAAGTGATCCTGCTAGGTGAATTCTAGTTCCAAAAAAGGTATAAAGAAAAAACAATCTTCTTGTCGTTTGCACAATATCAGCATATTTCCTTAAGAGTTCTTGATGGGCCGGCCTAGTGGCGCACTGCTACAGTGCGCCACTTGGGAGTGTGGTGGCGCTCCCGCCGAGGGTTCGGATCCCACATACAGACCGGCCGCTCACTGGCTGAGCGAGGTGCGGGCGCGACACCAGGGGTTGCGATCCCATTGCCGGTCCCGGTCCGGTATGGGCGTGACACTGCGTAATAACTTCGTATAGCATACATTATACGAAGTTATACGATGTCTGATTTATAAAATTTCAAGCTAATGGCTAATTACCAGAAAATTCTTCCTGACAATGAACCAGAATGACCAATTTCCTACCACCGCTATGCCGTGCCTTAGGAGCATTGTCTACTGGAAGTCCTGACCCTTATCACATGGAGTCATTTTCCCCTTCCTGACAATGTCTTTTAGTCCTGAAAAAAAAAAAAAAGAGTTCTTGAACGGTCCCATGTTCCACTGGTTGTACAATTAGATACTTAATTCTCGATAGCAACAAAACCCTGATGGCACTAAGGAAGCTCTACGTGACAATTATTCAGGCTCTTCCTATTCTCAAAACTCAACATCAGGGGAAAAAATAGTGGTACATTCAGAGTCTATGTCCTTGGGATGGCCTGAAATCACAGTGGTTCTGAAATTCAATATGCATCAAAATTACCTGGAGGGCTTGTTGAAAACAGACTGTTGGCTCCACTCTCCCTAGAATTCCTACTGTCAGTCAGAGGTAAGACCTGAGAGTCTGCAATTCCAACAAGCTTCTAGGTGACACTGCTCCTGCTGGTGCAGGGAACCACGCATGGACAGCCACAGCTCTGAATCAGTTCTACTCTCTTTCCTCACCTGTGCAGCAGGGATACAACCCTGAGGAGGCATGACGCAGCGCTGAAATGGGTAAGGAGCACCTGGTGCGGGACCCCAGTAAAGCAGAGCTGTAAAGACCCAATCCTTCTGAGCCTCACTAACAGTGTGGCTCCTGAGCCCCCCGCCCCCACACACAGACTCAGCAGAGCACCTCCTTGCTTTGTTGGCAGTTCCAAGGGATGGTGGCCCACAGCGGGTCTGGAGGGACTGGCAAGGCTGGGGTGAGTCAGACTCACCCCATCCTATCCTCCTGCCCGTTCCCACAAGCAGCACACATGCTGGACTTCTGCACCAGCAGTGGCATTCCCCTCCCTCTCCCAGGACCAGCCTCATTGCCCTCTGGGCAAGCTGGCACCCCCTCCTCAGTGGTCTGAGTCCTAGCCTTATCAGGCCCTCCTCCCTGCTTTGAAGCTGTAACAGCTCCAAGTTAAACTGGTTCCTCCACAGTGCCAAGAGCTCTTTCTGCCTCTGCCATCACTTGGTCAACATGTCTTCCCATTCAACAAGCTCTGTTAATATAACCAGGTAGTCTCTATCTCCTGTTGGGACCCTCACTGACACAGTTTTTCTTAGAGGTGACCATAGGAACAGCCCGGAGGCTGTTCCCAGAGGTCCCCACTCATTGGGTCTTGGGTGAAGCCTGCCATAAAAGCCCCCAGGTTAACTGATGCACAAAGTGATATTAAAAAAATAAACAAAACACAAACAGAAGCAAAAACCTGGCTCTAAGAAAACCTCAGACCTGTATGCAGAGGCTTTAGAATTTGAGAGCCCTGCAGCACAGACACTTGCTCCTAGCAGCGAAGGCACAGAGCCAGAGGCCAGTTTTTGTCACCTGGCACCAAGACACAGGGGAAGGACTAGCTGTTTCTGCAACCAAGGCTGATGCACAATATGTACCCATGGAAGTTCCTCCATAGACCCTAGATCCACTGGACACTAATATGCACACAGAGGGCACTCCCAAAGACTTCAGCAACCACTGAGCTGCTCAGTACCAGGTACACCTCAGTCCCTGTTCTAGGAACTGGAAATAGTGTCAAGGATCAATCCTAAGATTCTAAAACCCCTTGTTGGTCTTACTTTCTTTTTTTGGTCTTTTTTCCGTGTCCGGCAACGGGATCGCAACCCTCGGTGTTGCTCCCGCGCCTCGCTCAGCCATTGAGCGGGAACCGGTCTGTATGTGGGATTTGAACCCTCGGCGGGAGCGCCACCGCGCTTCCCAAGCGGCGCACTATCGCAGTGCGCCACCGGGCCGGCCCCTAAAACCCCTTCTTTCCCTGCTGAAAGTAACCATATACGTTTACAGCGTACTCTGTACTTTTCAAATTGCTCCACACACACTAGTTCCTGGGACTCTCACAAACACCCTCCAAGGGAGGAACGACAACACCATCACCTGCATTGTTCATGGTACACAAGAAAATACTGAGGCCTCCAGACCTTTTGCAGTATGCCCACAGTGCTCCTGCAGACAGCAGAGCCCAGACTAAGTTCTGACTCAAACACTCCTTTGTGTGATCCGACATTATCCACATGCAGAATTTAATCAGAAAATGTACATAGTTTTAATATCCTTAAATCTCTACCCCTTCAACCTCTGAGCTGTCACCTGCCACAATAGGTGTGAACCACAGGAGCTCCCTTCCCCGCTTTCCTGCAGGTGGCAAGCTCAGGGGAGCACAGACCGAACACGAAGGACTTGAGAACAGCTGGTAAGGCGTAGTCGACGTGACGGAATCCTGAAATGCAAGCACCAAACGTGCACCTATTTTCTGCATCTTTCACCATCACTTCGGACAGAAATCATAGCGATTACAATTTTATAAAAGCAAACATAAATGCCAAAAATGATGCTACAAGAGTAAGGTGATACCAGAGCCAATTCAGAACACTGACTGGATTAAAATTTAGTTCCTGTGACCTGGTCCCACATTGCACTGGCTGCACAGGCAGACACTTGCACGTGCCCACTCCTCAAGGGTGAGTTGTACAAAGCTATGCTTACCCAACAGCAGGAGCAGGGAGAAGAGAGTGGCACGTTCTGTACCACACAATTCCCAAAGACCTGCTTATGCTCCTCAGCCCAAGTATGACTTCTGTAATTATTTTTTAGAGACCAGCAGTACACGTCTGGGAGAGGAAACGATGAGGAGGGCCCAGCCTCCACGCTCTTGGATTGTAATGACAAACTCTGCATGCTTCCTGGCTCCTGGGTCATGTGGGGAGGATTGGGGCCACAGGACCATGGGGCTCCTGGGGCTTTAAGGACAGCTGTGAAAACTCTTAGAGCCTGTAGAAACCACAGACCACGACACAGAGGTAAAACATTTCCTTCACAGAAGCAAAAAACTGAGAAAAGTTGATAGCAAGAAGGAAGTCTGAATTATTTCGGGGACGTCACTCGATTCCAGCAGAGTGGATGGGCAGCAGCCCCGAGTGCACCCTGGGGACCTGTATGGCTGCTCTCTCCAGGGCACAGGCCTTGCACAGGGGACAACCAATTCTCTTTCAAAAGGGAAGGAAGAGGCAGAGCTATTCCTTACGCTGTATCTCTGACATCTCTTGGGACCCGAGAATTCCAATCTCGGAAAACTTCGTTTTCTTTGTCAAACTCCCGTTCGTCTTCACCAATGGTCACTGTAAACCTTTTCTCCTCAAAATCAGGCTCCTGTTCTTTTCGAATGGTTGCTTTTTTTAAAACCTACCATTGTAAGAAGAAAGAAGTCAGCATGTAATCAGAGCACTCAGAGTCACTGTTAGGGAACACAAAGGGCGGGTCTGAGGGATGGCAGCGGCCTGGAGGAGTGGCAGGACTATCAGTGCAGCAGGGGCAGGCGCAGGGCTCAGGCATCTTGCTGGGGAGCAGCGCACGTTTGTGACCGCCTCTGCACATGAAGCTGCCTGCTGAGCCATGCCATGAGATCACTGATGCTCAAGTGAGGTGCGGTGCAGTTTTGACACTTCCTATAAATTGTCTTGGAACTAAGCCCCATTCAGAGCTGAGGATGGGGTACACTGAGCAGGGGCATGTGGAGTAGCTGAAGGCTCTGAGGGAAGGAGGAGTGAGGAGAAGACACTGGGCCCACCTGTCACCTCCCCAGAGCAACCAACGTCGGGAGCTGAGAAGGCAGGGTGGGGACCAGCAGACTCTGGTCCCCCGATTGCAAGCCGGACATCGAGGGTCAGGGTGGGCCTGGAGTGAGGAAGTGGGCAGCGAGGGGAGGCCCGAAAGAGCCCTGGGGTCTCTCCAGGGACAGCAGATGCTAAGCCTCAGAAAGGCGGGGAGTGGGCGCTAGGAGAGCAGCATGGGTTCCACAGCAGGCTCTTGGGGGTGGGGGTGGGGTGTGCTCTCAGCAGCTGGAGCCTGCACCCCATGCTTCTGGGCAGCACCAGCTAGGATGGGATCTGACACTGTCCAAGCCACACAGAGACAGTGGGTCTGTCCTGGACTGTGCCTTGCCGGCCTACTGGGTTTTGCCTGTGACCTAGACTACCTCTGAGAGATAGTGAGACATCATAATCCATTCTTTACCTCTTAAAGGAAACCACAGAAATATATCCCTAACTTCAGAGGCTTCGCTGAGTTTTCCACTACTGTCTTTGGAGCAGAAAAAATGCCAGTTTTGTACAAGGACCACCACTAGTACTTTTCTTCTCAGGTTTTCTGCGGAATTCTGTTACCTCCTTCGCATGCCGGAGTCCTCGTTCCCAGGCACTCTCTGTTGGGGGTTCTGGAGGGGGTGGAGGCAAAATTTCATCAACTACTGGCCCACCCTATTAAAAAATGAAAAGGGAAAAGTTGAGAAAGCAAGTAAAACTTTAAAATCTACACAGAAACAGGGGAGCAAAAACATCAACTAAAGCAGGAGTCAGCCATACAACGGCCTGCTCTCTCACCAAGCCTGACCACGCCCCCGGGAGGTCTACGGCTACTGCCACACGGGGACAACAGAAGCATCTGAAAAGGCGGCTCTGTGATGCTCCTATGGCACAAAATGCCTTTTCCATGAGGCGTATTAACTTGTCCTAAGCTTGAGATTCAACAACAGAGCTCAGATGTCCGATGTGCTAGCAATTAAAGAAGAAGAGGCGTTCACGCACCCAAGGGTTGGCAGGCATCAGTGGGTGAGGTCCGAGAGGCGGGGCACCGTTAGGCGGGAAAGGGTCGGCTTTGGTGATTAGGGAGTAGTTCCCCTTGTCGTTCACTCCAGGGTGTATAAACCTACAATTCATTCCCCAGGTACAGTTCCCTATGGAAACAAAAGTCAGATCAGAAAGGTCGAGGACAGCCTAGCTGCACATCGGCAGCAGCAGGGGTGACGGCCACAGAGTTTACTGAGGATGTGGACTGTGCCTGGCAGTGAGCTTCGTGCCCTCACGGTGACTGAGCTGGAAGGCGGGTGCACGCCTGGAGAGGCCCAAGGTCAGGTGGCTGCGGTTGTCCTGGCCTCCAACTCCCTCCATGTGGCCAGGTGGTGCTCACATGCACAGGAGGCCCACGGCAGGCCCAGGCCGCTGGCTCAGCCAGGGGCACTCCCATGGGACAGAACTTTGTGAAGGGCTCCTGATGGGGCACCGGGGACTGCGGGTCAGGGGAAACATGGCCCCAGTTTCAGAGTCACTTGGTACAGTCCACACATATCAAGTGTCTGAATAATTTTCCCCTTAAAACAGAAAAGTACAAGCCTGGTCCCGGCCAGGCCAGGGCTCTCAGCTGGCTGCTTCTTGCAGGCCCACACTGGACGAGATTTTTATTCTGACTCAGAAAACACTCACACTGAAACAAATCAATGAGGAGCGTAACAGTGATCAGAATTCTACAAGTTTGTCCCAGGGTAATCTCTACCTCCTCTGTAATCTGCATTTCTCTTACCAAAAATCTCACAAACCATTTCAAGACATTTCTGGTACTTAAAAAATGTGTTAAGTGGAAAATACTTTGACAATTATAATAAATTGGACTTTGACAACTTGACTATAAATAACAATCAAAAACTGTCATCTTCAGCAACAGAAAACTGGATTATTAAATAAAGGAAACCATTTTTCAATGCAGAATGTAAAACATCTAAATTTTTAGTTCAATTAGTAAGACACCTTTCTAAAATTTAACTTTTTGAATAGGTAATGTATATACATGGTTCAAAAACAAATATGGCATATAGTGTACAAGTAGTTTTTAAAAACATCCTCAATGGGTTAACATATAGATTTAAATCATTTAAAAATATACACTCAATCCTAAACATGACATACCATTTGAACGTTTCTGTTGACAAATCATGTTTTTCCTTATACAATCGGCCTGCTATATCTGTGGGGCCTGCAACCAAGGACTTGACCAACCACAGATTAAAAATATGGAGAAAAAACTGTGTCTGTGGCCGGCCCGTGGCTCACTCGGCAGAGTGTGGTGCTGATAACACCAAGGCCATGGGTTCAGATACCATATAGGGATGGCCGGTTGCTCAGTGGGTGAGCATGGTGCTGACAACACCAAGTCAAGGGTTAAGATCCCCTTACCGGTCATCTTTAAAAACAAAACAAAACAAAAAAAAAACTGCGTCTGTGTTGAACACGCACAGCCTTCTTTCCCTGTCATTGTTCTCTATGTGATCCAGCATGACAGCCACTTCACAGCACCACACTGCGTTAGGTCTCGTGAGCCATCTAGAGATGGTTCAAAGTGCAAAGGAGGATGTGTGTGAGTTATGTGCAAATACTGTGCCACTTCATCAGAGAAAGGTCCTGGAACCAATCCCCTGCGCACACCAAGGGACGATGGTAAAATATAAATTAAACAGAAATGATCTTTTGGTAGTTAGGAAAATGCCAAATTTTACCTTTACACATTATGAATACTTAAGCTTGCATTAAAACCAACTCAAGGGCCGGCCCGGTGGCGCACTGGAGAGTGCGCTGCTTGGGAGCGCAGCGGCGCTCCCACCGAGGGTTCGGATCCCATGTGGAGACCGGTTCCCGCTCACTGGCTGAGCGCGGTGCGGGCGCGACACCAAGGGTTACGATCCCGTTGCCGGTCAGTAAAAAAGACAAAAAGAAAGGAAGAAAAAAAAAAAAAACAACAACTCAATAAACACAATAATAGCGTATTGATCTAAACTAAATACAAAATTAAAATTAAAATTGCTTTTCCAGAAATGCAAAAATGACAAAATAATCTTTAAAATTCCTAAAAGTGGGCTGAGCCCGTGGCACACTCGGGAGAGTGCGGCGCTGGGAGTGCAGCAGCGCTCCTGCCGTGGGTTCGGATCCTATATAGGGATGGCCGGGGCGCTCACTGGCTGAGCGCGGTGCGGCCGGTCTCAAAAAAATAAAATAAAATAAAATTCCTAAAAGTGTTTAAGACACCACACATAAGTCAAAGGAGGCTGGGAAATGTCACTCTGCAGGAGCTCAGGATCCCGGAGTCTCAGAGAGGTTCAAAGAAAAAGACTGTAGCCACACACCAGCAGATGTCTTCAAGTTTGACTGACGATATTCATACTGTATCCAGCATCACTCAGATAGTTTAACAAGTAACAAAAGCTCACTGTAAAAAAAGTGAAAGTGCAGAAAAGAGCGAACAAAATAAACCGCAGCTTTTCTGTAATTTTTCAAACATAAAAGCATGTCTGGGTGGTGGGTAAGGGGCATCTAACATTCTCTGTTCTTTTCTGTATTTACAAAATTTTCAAAACAAAACAAAACAAAACAAACCTCATCCACAAGTCCACTGTCAAGAAAAGATCTTTCATCACTCATACTGGCACTGGCAGAGGATGAAAGAGGGACAGGGGATGAGAAGAAACCAGTGAGCAACAGGCAGCACAGGTGCATCCCAAGGAGGCAGACACCATGCTCACCCTGGGGGTGCTGAGCCAGGCTCCTGCTGAGCCCGGTCTTGAGCCTCCGTCACCAAAGTGAAGGGAAGATGGCTCCAGGAAGGAATGTGGTTGGTCTACGCATATGACTAGGACAGATGTCCAGCAAATGTTAGGAAAATGAACAAAAGGAATGTTGTAATCCCATTAACCTTTTTAAAAGTGAGTTTTTAATCTATGCAGTAAAAAGCGTGGAACCTTTTTCTACAAAAATTGTTGGGACTGTGGAAGAAGAAAGACTTGTATCTTTTGTTTCCTTGACACTGTCGGCACATATTACTTTCATAATTAAAAAAAACATTTTGTGTTTAAAAAAAAAAAGGGAATATTGACAAAATAAAAATTTAAAGGGGAAAAAAAAAGGGAAAAAAATACTCCAGGAAATGGAAGCAAAGATAAAGATCTTTTGGTTTTAAAATTGTACGATCTCATTGGATACCTGCACCAGCCAGCTGCCAAAACCAAAAAATAAAAAAAACCCAATTGTGTGACCTTCTGGTTCTAAACAGAACTTCACAAACACAAAATGTATGTGGATGGTGATTCTAACTGTATAAACAATAGACAGTTAAACAGGCTTACAATTAATCATGCAAGGACTCTATCTGGATATAGATGCCAGCCAGAAGGGGACAGGAGAAAAGAAAACTGTCCAGGGTGGGTGAGAGGACAGTATCTTCACTTCTGAAATTTCTAAGTCCTGTTTTTGGCACATGGGGCCTCGATGGCATGATAGCATCCTTTTTCCTAACCAGACAGTGGCACATCAGCAAGTTTTATTCTTTTATTAACTTTACCTGTGTAAGCACTGTACTGTTTTATAGGAAAATATTATAATATTTTAAGAGGGAGGAAGAGAGGGGATATTCATAAAATTTTGATTACAGTATACTGTTATAACTGTTCTATTTTATTATTGGCTTTTGCTGCTAATCTCTTACTGTGCCTAACTGATAAGTTAAGCTTTAACAGAGGTACACATATATAGAAAAAACACAGCATATATAGGATTTGGTATTGTCTGTGGTTTTAGACATCCATTGGGTGTCTTGGAATGTATTCTCCGCAAATTAAGGCGGACTACTGTACATTGAAAAACCTAGAGCTGGTCCCTCCCAGAAATCAAGGAAATTAAACACAGAGATGACAGAAAAAGCCACCTGCATTCATGCTCCAGCAGCTGCTGGTCACCACCTACACATCCAACCAACCTGAGGGGAGCCACCTCTTCCAGTGGGCAGGGACATTGGGAGAGCAAGCACCCAGTGTCTGTGAGTGTGTGCAAGCTCACAGTGTGCTAGGTCCAGGAACGCCGTCAGATTTCTAAATTTTTGGTTTGTTGTTGGTCTGGTTACCAGCGCAGTGTGACCCTAACGTCCCACAGCTGCGCGGCACTGTGTGTGCGATGCATCACTCTGGAAAAGCTGAAGTCTTTTTCTAATAGCTCTCCATTTTCCACACAAACTAATCACTTCACACTAGAATTTTAAACCAGACTTTCTGGTCTTATTTAAGTATTCCCTTGTTCCCTTTCTTGTTTGTCTGAATAACTCAGAATAGGCAATAAATATAGAGATTATCAATACAAAATAAAGTTTAAAGTGCCTCATGATTTTCAAAAAATACTTTATGAAAGGAAGGCAAAATATATAAAATTCTAGTAATCAAATCTTACGGACAAACCTAAGATCTACAAATCTGTGTTCTAACAGGCCTGAGAGCCAGTGAACCACCACACATTATAGGCACTAACAACATAGCCCAAAGGACTAGCGGAACTCCCTTCCACATCTCACAGAGAACCATAACAGTGACTAGCAAGAAACCACGGTCCCATCTACCACAGTGAGACTCCAAGATGTTCTAACTCTTAAGGAATACGCGCATCACAACGGGTGAAAGAACTGAAGTCACTGCAGGGCTGCTTCTCTGCAAGTAATGGAGCCTTGGAATTGGAAGTTCTCTACTGCATTAGAAATTAAAAGACAAATTTAGGGCTGGCCCGGTGGCGCACTCAGTACAGTGCGGCACTTGGGAGCACGGCGTCGCTCCCACTGAGGGTTCGGATCCCACATAGAGACCGGTCCGGTCACTGGTTGAGCGCGGTGCAGGCACGACACCAAGGGTTGCGATCCTGTTGCCGGTCGCGACACCGAGGGTTGCGAACCCGTTACTGGTCATGAAAAAAGACAAAAAAAAAAAAAAAAAAAAAAAAAAATTTAAAAAAAATTTTATAAATATTTTAAAAAAAAAAAAAAAAAAAAAAAAAAAAAAAAAAGACAAATTTAAAGATAATTCATTAATATATTTAAAAGTAACAAGAAATCCAAAATAAGGTTATTTTAAAAATATTTGGTGGAAAGCGGCATTATTCTCCTTTTTGCAAATCTCTATAATGCTGACATATGCACAGAGGATGACTGTGTTCTCACATCTGCTTCTGCATTCAATTTGCTGTGATGGGTGCTTTTGGTAGAAGAAAGTGAAGGAAATCCAGCCTCACACAGACAGGTAGCTGGAAAGAGGAGGAGTATTTTAACAGCGTTTTCAGATACTCTCAGATGTTCTTTGATACTACACCAAACTGCAGAAGTGAAGGTTTCTTAACAGTGAGCAGCCATGAAGAGTCTATCACTGAACTTTCGAAATCTGATCAAACCCACTGGTCCATCCTTTGTTTTCTTTTTTTTTTTTTTTGTCTTTTTCCGTGTCCGGCAACGGATCGCAACCCTCAGTGTTGCCCCCGTACCGGACCGGGGACCGGCAACGGGATCGCAACCCTCGGTGTTGCTCCTGCGCCTTGCTCAGCCAGTGAGCGGGAACCGGTCTGTATGTGGGATCCGAACCCTCGGGCGGGAGCGCCGCCGCGCTTCCCAAGCGGCGCACTTATCCAGTGCGCCACCGGGCCGGCCCCCCATCCTTCATTTTCAACAGCCCTCTCGACAGGCAGGATTCTGTAACACCAGGCAATGGTCACTTGGAGAAGTCATTATACACTACGAAGTTGTTGAGTTTACGGTTGCAGACACAAATTTTATAAAAGTCTCATTTTCACGTAAGAGTGAAAGTCTCATTTTCATGTCAACATTGGTGACAGACACCATCCATTGTTCTTCCAGGGCAGGCTCACTTCGTTCTTGCTGAGAACCAGGGTCCCATCAAATGGCATGGCTGTCCCTTGCTCTTTTGCCTACATGTGGTGCTTAGTCCCTCCAGACCACTGGGCTTCAGTGTGGGGCAGGGGGTCCATGCCATGCCTGCCATAGATGTATACTGAGGGGTCTTACTGGGGTGAAATGCTCTAAAATTGGATTGTGGTTATGGCTGCACAACTTGGCAAATTTACTAAAAACCACTGAACTGTACACTTAAAATGGGTGAATTTTATGGCATGTAAATTATACCTCAATAAAGTTTTAAAAAAAAAAGACCCGAGCTGATTGGTTAGCTCAGTTGGTTAGACTGCAGTGTTATAACACCAAGGCCAAGGGTTTGGATCCCCTTACTGGCCAGACACCAAAAAAAGGAAAAAAATTGACCTGTACTCAAGTTTACAACTTAATTAATTCTTACCACTATATCACAGACATTAAGGGAAACTGGCATTTTAAAATGGGAGCACAAGGTGGTGAAGACTTGACTATCACTATGAAAACAGTTTTGACCTCGGGGTTTCCTGAAAGGATCTCAAGGACCCGGAAGGGCCCACAGACCAGACTGAGACTTGCTGCTGTGAACACAAAATGAGCAAAAGATGATGCTCCAAGGAAGATCTACAAATGGACAAGCACACAGGAATGCTCAACATCACTAACGTTAGGGAAACGCAAATCCAAACCACATGAGACAGTCACACTGTCTCGCACCCATCAGACTGGCTGCTATCAGGAAAACAGACAGAACACAGCAGTGCTGGAGGATGTGGAGAAACTGGAGCCCTGTGCACGGCTGGCAGGGATGTAAAACGGTGCAGCTGCTGCGGGAACAGTGAGGGGGTTCCTCAAAACATTAAAAATAGAGCTACCATGTGATCAGCAAGTCCACTTCTGAGTATTTACCCAAAAGAACTGAAAGGACGCAGGGTCTCAAAGATATTTGTATACCATGCTCACAACAGCATCATTTACAGCAGCCCAGAGATGGGAGAAGCCCAGTGTCCATCGATGGATGAAGGGCTAAACACGTGGTCCACCCACACAGTGGAACACTATTCAGCCTTAAAAAAGGAAATCCTAACACATGCTACAACATGGATGCACCTTGACAACATTTTGCTAAGTGAAATAAGCCAGGCACGTAAAGATACATACTGTACGATTCCACTTACATGAAGTCCCTAGAGTCATCAAATCCACAGAGACAGGAAGTAGCATGGTGATTTCCAGCGGCTGGGGGCCAGAGGAAATGGGGCATCGTTGTTTAGTGTGTACAGAGTTCCAGTGTTGCAAGTTGAAAAACTCCTGGAGATAAATGGTGGTGGTGGTGGTGGTAGTTACACAACATGAGTATATTTAATAACACTGAACTGTATACTTAAAAATGGTTAAGATGGTAAATTTTAGTCCAATTAAAAATTGTGTATTTTACTCCAATTTAAAAAAAAAATGCAGGAGCAGATACAAGAAGTCTGACCTGCAGAATGGCTGGATGCTTGCTCAGAGAGGGATAAATCAGAAACCCAAAGTAGGACACAGTTTAAAGAAAATACTATTTATTCCTTCGCGGATAGAATTTTATGTCCTGATGACTCAGCATACATACATGAAAGGTAAAAACATACCGCATACAAAATGTTTACAAGTCATGTTCCTGGTGCATTTTATTGTCAATGGTCATCAGCATTCTGTCCACTGGCAATTAAATGATAATCATAACTTGTCAAAGAAACATAGCTAACAGGCTTTTTTTCAAAAAAAAAAAAAAAAAAGAATTTTAAAATTAAAACATAATTCACATACTATAAAATATCCCAGTTTAAGGTGTACAATTCAGTGTTTTGTTTTTTTTTTTAGCATATTCACAGAGTTGTGCAACCATTAGAACTATTTAGCTTCAGACAATTCTGACACCCACAAAAGGAAACCCTGTACCCATTAGCTATCTCTCCCCATGCCCAGCCTAGGCAATGACTAGTGTACTTCGTGTCTCTTTGGATTTGCCTGTTCTGGACACTTCACGTAAATGGGATCATTCACTACGTGGCCTCTCATGTCTGGCTTCTTCCACGTGTGATATTCTCAAGGTTTGCCCATGTTGGAGCATATGTCAATGCTTCATTCATTTCATGGCCAAACATCGTTCCATTGTACAGATGGACCACACTTTGCTTACCCATTCATCAGCTTTTGGACGTGTGGAGTATTTCCTCTTTTTGGCTATTATGAACCACGCTGCTAGAAATACTTGTGTATGAGTTTTTCTGCGGATGTGTGTTTTCACTGATCTTGGACAGATGTCTGGAGTGGAATTGCTGGGTCACATAGTAACTCCACCCTTTACTTTTTTTTTTTTTTTTTTTTAAAGATGACCGGTAAGGGGATCTTAACCCTTGGCTTGGTGTTGTCACCACCACGCTCAGCCAGTGAGCATACCAGCCATCCCTATATAGGATCCGAACCCGTGGCCTTGGTGTTATCAGCACCGCACTCTCCCGAGTGAGCTACAGGCTGGCCCTTCCACCCTTTACTTTTTGAGGGACAGCTGGACTGCCTTCCTGAGCAGCTACACCATTTTAAGTTCCCACCAGCAGTGCATGAGGAGTCTGATACCTGCATGTTCTTGCCAACATAACAAACTTCATTTTACTTTTAAAGTAACTTCTTTTATTATTGGAGGATCTTAAACTGATTCATCTCAATTTAACACAAAGCTTATAAACTGCAGGTAAGCAAAAACATATATCCAAATAAATTTCTCATAACTAAGAGGAAGTAGGGGACATGCTCTAGAATACTGAAATCAACCATCTCCTTTTGTACTGTCTCACATTACTCCATAGAAGAAACAAATAGTATAAGGAAAGGTAATTATATTTAAAAATACTCCTGAAACAGGCCTCTAATTATGCCCAATTAGCTGCAAAAAACTGCCATTTGGTCCAGCTTCCAATTTCTCCACTGCAGAAACCTTCCACAGGGTCCCACTAGCTAAAAACCAAGTTCAGCACTCAGTCTAACCTGGAGGCCCCACCTTCCCATCTGACCGTGTGCTGTCCCTGGATCTGGTGCTGCTGGATGTCCTGTCCATCCAGATGTCCCCAGTGATGCGAATCTGCAGTCCCACCAATGACCTCACTTCGTTTGTGCTTCTGTTGTCAAACTCTGGGAGCTAGTTCAATGGTGTGAGCCACAAGCTCCTGGCCCAGACCCTCTGCACACGAATGGTGGATGCTGCCGCCTCCCGCTGCAGGAGCCCTCAGGCCAGTCCTGCCTGGCTGGCCATGCTCCTGAGCCACACTGCCACCCAGAGACCAGCACCACACAGGGCAGTTTCTGAGTTGTGCTCATTTGAAACAACTGCACGATATGTGTACATATGTGCACAGACTTTCTCCATTGCTTTAATCCAGAATCTGAGCAGCAGACTGCCGTCACTTGCTCCCATATCATTATGGAACAGGTCTTCTGCTTAAGTTTAAATTTTCTGAAATACTGACACTTCAAATACCAAAGCTTTTAAAGAATTGTAACAATTTGCTTTCTAAGAGGTATCACACGCTTCTCTTCTCCTAGGGGAGGGGTGGTTTCTCTACTGCACATGGTCATAGCCCATGGAGGCTCTCCCCAGCTGCCCCTACAGCAGGCTTGGCACAGGCGGCACACAGTGGGGCCATCACGCACACATGTGACTCAAGGAAGTCAATGTCCTCACTCAACAAAAACAAAAGCAACAAGTGTGCAGACAGAGCAAGCCAGGAGCACACACCACAGAAGCAAGCCCAATCCAGGCACCCGTGAGCCCTCACCACATCACCTCTTGGCATGAGGGACACTGTGAGCGCAGAGCCCGCCCTCTCTGCAGGATGGGACTCTACCATCCTCCTGTGTTTCTGCCCTCTCGTGAGTGCACCCTCCGGCCTCAGGCTGCACCTACTCAACCAGCTCCTGTGCCTCTGAAGAGGAAGGTTCACAACAGCCTCTGGCCCTCAAAACACCTGCTTCTTTCTGGTTTCACAGCCGGGCTCTGGATCCAGGAGAAAGAAGTCTGGCCGGCAGGGGACTTTAAGGTACTAAAGAGAGTGAATATAGTATATTTTGTACCTTTCACCTGGCCTCTGAATGGTATGGAATTTGATATTGGTGGAAGAAGAGTGGATAATGGTGTCACAACATCTGGAAAAGAAGTACAGGAAGCACTTGTGAACTTGAGACTGCACGTGCAGACAGGTTGGTGAGCAAAGTCATCTAAGAGCTTAAAGCAAAATTAAGAGAAAGAGAGAAACATCTTCCCACCTGACCATGGCAAATGCTGAATTATGAGAAATATGCCAAAACTGCTGCTGCACATCAAAGAAACCCCTATGGATTGGAAATTCTCATTTCCATCTCCCGAGACTTTAAAAAATAAAACAAAAAGCCATACTCTTGTCATGCTACATCTTAAAATGTGGTTAGTTCAGATTTTTACACAAGGTGCCATCAAACTGTCACCTGCTGCAGCTATTTAGCACAGACCATGCACTGCACAGGAGAGTGAGCCCTGCTGCTCTCAGAGCCTTCCCTGGCCACTTAGGAATCCATACCAAATGAAGGGTGTGCTCTGACACATCTTGCAAAAAAGGGGCCATTTCCTTACAGAGGGGAAACATTAACACTGGCACCTGGAACATGTGGCCTCATAAAAAGGACCACTTAGAAATCTGATTAATACTGTCTACACCACAATCTTGGGTCTGTTGTAAGCGGGTGGGCCTGGAACCACAAGTATGAAAATGACCAGGCTGGCTCCCCTCCAAGGAGGTCACTGAAGCGATGAAAGGACCAGCAGGAAGGGCTGTGGTCTGATGTCAGCATCAGCACCACCACCACCACCACCACCACACACGGCGCGGGGGCTTGACGAGACCAAACCACTACCACGGCCACAGGAAAAGCTGAGGCCACAGAGATGGCTGAGAGAAGGCCCCCCCCATGGACAATTACCTTTCATGAAGAATCGGCAGGTGGGACGGGGCCTCACCTTCCTGTCACTCGGGTCCTTCACTTCACCTTCTTCCAGGTCATCGTCCTGAAACAGAAGACAATCTTCTGAACAAAGCTGAGAGGAATCTGCCAATGGGCACTGCTCTCACCAAACCGGAAAGGACAAAAAGCTGGTACTGGGAACTTAGATATTTTCACAAGCCTGTGTCTTCGCCACTCACCAATTCACACCAATCTTCCAAATCCTAGATTCCTCATTTACACAATAGGGATGATCTCAAAGCTTACCTACAAGCTCCAGGCATTACACGAGAGCGCATTACATAAAAATACTCTGTGAACTACACAAAACACTTCACATAGCATGACTTTATTACATTTCTTTTAATTAACAACTTTGGGTAGAAAATGGTTACACTTCAGGTTTTTAATACTGTGTAAATTTAGAAAAAATTTATAAAGAAAATATTATGCCCCTTAAATTAAACACTAACTTCCTCTAATTTACAAGTCCTGGTTGGGGATGGGGTAAGGGGCAGGTAACTCAGATCCATGATACCTCCTGGCCAGCAGTGTGGGCGCCTCATGAGGCTCATTTGCAGTCTAGAGTTCTGAACCGTGGCTGCCAAAGTTTAGAATAACCCAGAGCTTTCCAAAGACCAAAGCCTGGGCCTCGCCCCAGGATTCCACCAAGCAGTGAGGACCTGACCACCACTCTCTGCTGTGCTCTCCCAAGCCACCACTGGTGCAGGGCCTGTTCCCACCAACCTACAGCCCAGACTCCCACCTGTGCCTCTCAGCTGAGATCTCTCCTCAGACCCATCCCCAGTCCACATGGACATCCAGCTGCCCTCCTGACACCCCTGGCCCAAGGCTGTGTCAACTGTCACACATCCAGGATAGAAGTAGTCATTGTCCCCTGTCCCAGCCTCTTCTGGCATGCCCTAGCACAACCAAACCCAACCGTCTTGAAGGGCTGAGATCTAGGAGCCACCGGACCCCTCTCCCCATCTCCTGAAGCACCACCCTCGTCCAAACCACTGCCCTATCTCACCTGGTCTGATGAAACCACTTCCTAACTGGTATTCTCATGTTCTCTCCTGAACCTTTGAAATCTGCATTCCAAATGCAAAGAGCCCTTTGGAAATTCCAAGCCTGGCCATGATCTTCCCTCTCCTGTCTTTACTATTCAACTAATCTCATTTGCAGAACAAGGTGCACATCCTCTTCCTCTGACAGCCTCCACGGAGTACCCTGCACTGCAGGTCCTTACAGCCCCCGCCCCAGCAGCATGTCCTGCAGCCGCACTTGAGTGTCCTGGTGTTGAACACACCAGCACCACCTGCACTGCTGAAACCTGCTGAAACCTATGCCCCACCAAGGCAGGGCTGTGTCTGTCAGCTTACCACCAAGTCGCTGGGTCCAGGCAGCATTGGGCTCATAGTTAACAGTCAATAATTATTTGTTGAATGAAGAAATGCTGAAATCAAACCCTGAAATTATGATGACTTAAACTTTTAAAGCTTAAATATTTTTATGATTTCTGCCTTGAAAATACTTAGTAATCAAAAAGTATTTTATAATGAAAAGAACAGATTCCTGATGGTTACATCCCTTGAGAGAGCCAACAGAATCATCTCTTCAAGAAATGATTAGAGAAAACGTGCTTATGCTAAGTCTGGTCTTTTAGTCTGTATTTGCTCTTTGCTTCTATTCTCATGGTAACAATTACTACACTAAAACCTTACTGTGGTGTTTCATATGAGCTCAAGTCTAAGTTGAGAATATACTGTCTTTCTTTGTTCTCATTAGAAAAACAAAACTCATACGAAAAGTTCAAATCCAATCAAATCTTCCTGCTTCACTTGGAAATTGATCCACAGGAGTTTAAATGATGAGTATAGAATAGTAGTTTTTCAGAAATCAGCATTCATATTAAGTGCACTAGACCAGATTTAAAGAGGGGTGTGTTTCTGCAAAGACGTTACTATCAATAGTCAAAGGAGCAAAAAAGGAAAACCACCTAACCATCTTCACATTGGTAAGCAGTCACGTAAACAATGCAAAGGAATACAACATAGCTACAAAAAATTATGAGCAAACAGACAAGAGACGCGTGGTAAAGCATACAAGACATAATTTCAACCTCAAGAACACAAAGTAGCATCTGCATGCCAACCACGGACATCCGGCCTGACACCTGTGGGGGCCAAGGGCAGCACACGCCAGCATGTCAGGTTTGTGGCCTCTCCTTTAGTTAAAGAACAAGCAAAAAGAACCAGTAAGCTGCTCAGCAATATAATGTCCTGAATTTTCAACTAACCATTCATTTAGCTCAATGGACTTCTAAGTGACAGATGATCAAGACAAGTTTTTAAATCTTAAGAGTTTCATGCAAAGATGACGCCAGAAAGGAATCTACAGCCAGACTCACAGTGCTCAGTTACCTGAGGCTGTTCCATCGAATGTGTGATGTGTGGGAATTCTTTTAGGTCTCCTGGTGTGTCTCACACCAATGGCTTTCTGCTCATGTGACCTAGACCAGAGGCAGCAGAGAGCAGAGGACAAGGAGAGGCCTTAGTGGGCCAGTTAGCAGCTAACTGGTGGATCTATAAGAAGGACGGCACTCAGAAAGCTCTCAGCAAATGCCACCCAGGACAGGCCAAAACTGCACTAGCACTGAACACTGGCGGGTATGCAGGAGGCATGTGAGGCCACCAGTTTATATATACAAGTGAAATCACGGCCTGCTGGCACACTACTCTGGGCACTTCCTCACGTCAGGGTAAACATGCCCATGAAGAAAGGAAACCAGGTGGGGCATCATCAACTCTGATTTAAGAGCCTTTATAAAATGCATGTGCACTCGGGGAGAAAGGCCCAAATTCGATTACTGGGTCTGGGCCATCGTGGCAGCGTGACCATGGATGCATCGCCAAAGAGGCCTGTTTTCCTCTGCAGAAGACAGCAAGCACCTGCCGCACTGGCCTGCTATAGACTGAACTAAAATGCTCTGTACACGGCACCCACACACTGTGCCCTGCACAGCATACGAGCAGCTAGTGCTCAGTAAGTGATCACTATTACTGTACTTATTTCAATGGAAAGAGCCTCCAAGCTAATGCCCCAAATATGACTACCTCTGAGCATTGATACAGGCGATTTTTACTTTCTCCTTTGTGCGGGTTTTTATTTTCCTTTAAGAAAAAAATGAACAGTATTACTTATATAACAAGAAAGAAGAATTATTTCCACATGGAAGCTTCTGCAGCAAAGGCAGACAAGGAAACAGAATTGCCATGTGGAGCTGCTGTGCCAGAGGAAACAGACAATCAGGTGGACGTGTGAACCAGGGCAAGGCCTAGGCATGACCTGGCGTGGCCACCTGGGCCCAAACAACTTCCTCAAATCCCAGACTCTTCATCTATAAGATGGGGGTGAAAACACAGGCTTATAATCCCCTACTTAAACGCCCTGGAGCCAGAGGTATTTTGGGAATTCAGTTTTGATCTGAGAAAGGCAGCATGGCAGGGTTTGAACAGCAGCCTGTAATGGAAGCAGTGATCTTCCTGTCAGGAGCCATGTAACCCCTCCCACAAGAGAGGTAAACACAAGACCCAAGCAGCTGCCAGTCGGTTGGGCCAGGACTGCCACTGGATGAGAAAGGAAAACCCTTCAGTTCCCGGCACTGCTGGGGTCTCACAGCTGTGAGTACAGCTGTGCACTGCTCTTTCTCATGTGACTGTGCTGAAGACCAACAGAGCTAGGTGACACAGAGGCCTCTACATCCTATGACTGCTGCTACATGGGCTCTCTTCCCCAGTGCGGCTCAGGCAGCTGTTTGCTGGGCTCCCCCAACGGGATGGCTGCATCTGGCACCTTATTAGTGATATGAAAGAGGGTGTGCATAAGGAACTCTCCACCAGCGAAGATGAAAACCCAAAGCCACAAGGGCAAGCTGGAGAAGCTCTTCTGTAGAAGATCCTATGCATCCAAACATAAAAGGAACAGAAGAGGGCCGGCCCGGTGGCGCACTGGAGAGTGCGTTGCTTGAGAGCGTGGCGGCGCTCCCGCCGAGGGTTCGGATCCCATGTGGAGACCGGTTCCCGCTCACTGGCTGAGTGTGGTGCGGGCGCAACACCGAGGGTTGTGATCCCGTTACCGGTCAGTAGAAAGGACAAAAAGGAAAAAAAAAAAAAAAGGAACAGAAGAAAATATAAAATACCAAATGCACAGAAAATGCTTCAAAGTATTTTTGTATTTTGCATGCAGGTGGCCAAGGAGTCCCATGGACTGTCCATTAGGGACACAGGCCCACTGTGCTGCTGTCTCTGAGAGGCCACCCTACAAATGTTTGAGAGTCTCCAACAGGAGGAAGAATGGGACTAAACATGGGCCCTACCCTTTCTCAAAGGATGGTATGCTCCAAGTGACTGAAGGTCCATTCACCAAATGACAAGGAAGACATAAAAGCAGAACAAGATGGGCAAAGGAGATGACAGATAGACCTTAGACAGGAAGACTCCAGTATGTGATGGCACATCAAAGACTTGCAAAGATGAACGGAGCTACCCACCAGATCCCAGAGGGAGGGTGGTTCTGGTGAGAGGCCAGCCAGTAGTGCAGGAAAAAGGAAGGGAGGGTCTTCTCATAGCAGGGGCGTGTGAGGGCATGCTCTGCTCCCTCTTCTGAGATGGCAGAGGTCGAAACAAGCCCACAGCTGCATCTGGTTCTCTTCTGGGTGGCTTCCTGAACAGGCCAGAGACTACTGAGAAAAGGTTTAGTGGGCAGGAACACCCTTGCCTTCACACCACACACAAGCCAGGTGCTGTAAACAGCTGGCCCACAGTCCCGTGTGCAAAACCTCTTCCCAACCACACAGGCGAGTGGCACTTCCAGAAAGGCATATGTACCTGCAGGGTGTGCTGGCAGTACACCAGAAACACAGGAAGATCGTCTGGCCTCAGGCAGACATTGTGTGGCTAAGGCACATATGACTATCATAGAGCAATGATGCAGGTGATTTGAAGGGTTTATTGTACAAACTGATGCTCCAATCAAGGAAACTGTGCCCTGAAATCAGTTCACTTGGGTCACCATGACAAAAAGTCTAAAAGGGAAAAAGGCAGGACAATGCACCTGAGAGATGAGAAAGCACTACTGAGTTAAAAGGATGACAAATCCAATGGCCTTCTAGACTTTTCCACCCAGCTGTTCCTGGCAGTTCAGAGGGCTAGGACGCCCAGGGAAGGATGGGGCAGTGGGTGTGCAGGGGGGCTTCTTCCACTCAGCCAGGCCATTGAGACCCTGCTCAAAGTGGAGACTCTCTATAGGGCCGCACGGACACCCTTCTGCAAGAATATAAGCCAAATCACACATTTCTTCATCATAAAAACATCCAAGGGGCTGGCCGGTGAGCTCAGCTGGTTGCAGCGCAGCTTTGTAACACCAAGGTCACAGGTTCAGATCTGAGCACTGGCCAGACACCAAAACAAACAAACAAAAAAACAAAAAAGAAAAACCCAAACAAAAAACCCCCAAAACATCCAGGTAGTGTGTCTCAGATACCACAGCTCTGCTTAAAAGCAATGGGGAAACACCTTCTGGAATATATTACAGAGATTTAAAGTTAAGGGAACCAGCCCAAAGGCCTGCTGGGAAGCAGACTGTTCATGGACCGAGCACACCACTCGGGTTCCCTCTCCATCAAATAAATGTTCCCAGAAACAGGGAACAGGACATGGTGCAGGAATGCCAGGAGGGGCCTCTGAGAGTGAGTGAGAGAGTGAGAGTGAGAGTGAGAGTGAGAGTGAGAGTGAGAGTGAGTGAGAGAGAGAGAGAGAGAGAGAGAGAGAGAGAGAGAGAGAGAGACACAAGATGTGCCTGGTGGAGATGCCACAGAGATCTAGCCGGGATGACAGGTTTGCAACCAGGCCTGAGAGCAGGAACCAGCAAGAGTAAGACCTCTTCATGTACACACCGACAAGCATCTGCACTAGGCTCCCGAAGGGCTGTGCTGGTCACCTGAACTGCCCTCCACTGTGAAAGGCTCTCCAGTGCAGACCTTCCATCCACTGCCACTTCACATCTGAAAGGCTCCCAACTTTACTGTGCCCCAAAGCAAGTGGGACCTATCTATTCGCTCAGCAAGCAGTCACTGACCGGCAGCCTACAGTGTACCAGGCCCTGGAGATGCAGAGGTGAAGCAGCCAGATGGGTCCCGGTCTTAGGAAATGTGTGTTCCTGGGGTGCTGGGGGGCACACAACACAACACCCCCCCACCACACGAATGAACCAGTCAATTCGGACTGTGGCAAGTACGACAATGGAGGTAAGCTGGCATCACAACACAGTCGGGGTAGGAGGCATAGCCCACACAAGGGAAGTGATATTTAAGCCCACCTGTAAAGGATGGGGAGGGGCCTGGGTCATGGAGCGGGCCAGGAAACAGCAAGAGGAATCCAGAGGAGCTCCTGGGGAAAGAGTGGCCCACCGGCCTGGGAAGTCAGGTGTGCTGGCATGGGAGCGGAAACCCCCATTTACAGTGCCTGCTGGCATACCCTGGTTAAGGTTTGCTGTCCCTACAGCAGGGAGGAGCTCTGCTTTGCCCTGTAGCATCCCTAGCATGCTGCAATGAGCCTGGCACACACTAGGGGCCACCGCGGGTCAGAGGCACAGGATACTGTGGGAACGAAACGGCCTCCCTGTTGCTGAAGGCAGCTGTGCTGGGATCTCTTCAGCAGCAAGCTGTTTCCAATGGGGCTGCAGGTCCCCTTACAAGAGGGTGCCACACAGGGCAGGCAAAATGAAACACACCATAGGATCTAAGTGGGCAAGAAAGTCAAATTGAATTTTACTCCACACGCGCTGTTTCAGGAGCACAGGTGTTCTCTCTCTAGGACCAGCTTGGTCCAGTCCACCTCCCCACCACCCACCCTACAGAGAGGCTGGAAAGCTCACTGGTGTACCACAGCCAAGGCCTTCCAGGATCCCTAAGGAGAACTTTGACTCCATTTGATGAAATGCCCCCTGGGATTTATTCAAAAGTTGGAGCAAGTAGGGTCTGCAGTTGTTCCTCCTATCTGGAAAGGAAGTGCCCAGAGCCCCAGGCCACAGCGCCCCACTGCACACCTGGTGGTTTTTCTCTCCAGAACATGAAAAACCAAACTCAGGGGCAACTTCAACCCGACAACTTCATGTTCTGCCCAAAATTTCACCCAAATCCATAACCTTGGGTGTCTCACGACATCTCTTTTCCTTTGCCAACCGTGGGGTAGAGATGAATTTTCTAAAAGTTTTAGGGAAGTGTAGATGGCAAAATGTATAGATACTTGCATAATAAAGTCCTGTGACAATGCCCTTTTAAGTAAGATAATATCAAGCAAAAGCCATTAAACCAGGAGAACACTTCCTACACTTTTGAGAAGATAAAAGATCTAAATTCTAAGCTTGCTACTGCACACATGCCCCTCAAAGTTCTGCTCTTATGAACAAAGTCAAATAGGTAATATTTGAAACCCTACATCACTGCGCACAGCCATGGCCGCGTGGGTCATGACGTGGTAAAGGAGAGCACACTTTAAAATGGACTGAGGGCGTTGGAACCCACACACTACCAGAAAAGCATGGTACTTATAGTAAACCTGCAGTTAGACATTTACTTAGCAATCTTTTCCCTCCCCAACCCGAAACATTTCTGAGATATTCCATACATCTTTATTCCAACAGTTCTCAGATAAGCAGGATATCCTGCCCAGTGGTTGTTAAAGAAACCCAGATCATTTCAATCTGCTCTCTCTTGATTCCCTGAATTCAATAGTTCTGAAAAGTACTGTCACCAGGACTGCAGACTTTGTTTCCCCCAAAACTCATGGTTACAGGGCTATCTGGCATAAAAGCCCAACCTGCCCATGTCTAGGGTCATACATTACTAGTATTATCTTCCCCTCCACCTGAAGGCCAGATTAATTTAAATAAGTTACAAAAAAGTGTGATGGTATTATTAGAAATTGGGGCACACTGACACATCCCTGCCTTATCTGGTCCTTCCCAGGGACGCAACAAGAGAGGCACGGTCGGGCTGGTGCCCTCTCCAGAGGACAGGCCACAGGGCAGAGATAAGAATGCCCAAAGGGGGCCGAGCCCGTGGCGCACTCGGGAGAGTGTGGCGCTGGGAGCGCAGCAGTGCTCCCGCCGCGGGTTCGGATTCTATACAGGGATGGCCGACGGTGCGCTCACTGGCTGAGCGCGGTGCGGCCGGTCTCAAAAAGGACAAAAAAAAAAAAAAAAAAGAATGCCCAAAGGAACAGACAATGCAAGTCAGCCTTTCTAGTTCTTTTCAGTCTGAAGAACCTAAAGAGAGCTGAAAATCCGTGAGGGTTCTGGTTAAATGCTAAGTTAAGTATTATTCCAAGCAAAGAAAAAGAAATTACCTCTTCACTTGTTTAAAAAAAAAAGGAAGAGCCGGCCTGTGGCTCACTTGGGAGAGTGCGGTGCTGATAACACCAAGGCCACGGGTTCGGATCCTATATAGGGATGGCTGGTTGGCTCACTGGCTGAGCGTGGTGCTGACAACACCAAGCCAAGGGTTAAGATCCCCTTACCGGTCATCTTTAAAAAAAAAAAAAGGAAAAGAAAAATCCAGAACCTAAAAAACGGGGCTAGGCATTTTAATACAGTCCAAACAATAGCACCAAACAGACAGGCAAGGGCTGGAGGAAGCCCTGCAGCTGCCGAGGGCAGGGAGAGGCATCCCGAAGCTGGACTGTTTCTTGTTCTTGATTTTCAGCACCTCCTCTCTAATTACTATGGTGACTGGCCCCAGAACGGCTCTCACCCTCCTGTACTCCTGTCCTGCCACCTCGTTTCTAGGAATGAATGACCGACTAAGCCAATCCCGTGAAGAGTCCCTCCCTCCCAGGCACCAGCCAGTGCTCGGTGACAGCAGAGCTCTGCCCAGCTGTGGCTTGCCCGCATACTCACATCTATCTCCCCATCATCGATCTCTCCATCGTCGTCCTCTTTTTTTTTCTCCTTGGCAGCCTCCTGGGGCTCTTTCTCTCCTGCACTTTGAATTCCAGCCTTCCCCTCCTCCCCAGGAGGGCCTTCCCCCTTTTCCTCATCCTCCTCTGCCCCGGCCTTCTCAGCCTCCTCTTCCTGGACCGTGGGCACTGGCTCCTCAGGGACTTCCTCGTCGTAATCCAGCTCATGCTCATCCAGCTCCCTGGTGACTGAGGAGGCCTCGTCCCTGAGGTCACTTGTCTGGTCTTCCTCCCCTTCATCCCCCTCTTCCTCGCATGGGGAGCCTGTCTGGCCCCGGCTCAGTTCGTTGGCCTCAGAGTCCTGATCCTGGGATTTGGGCTCACTCGCTCGGTCCTCCTCGTCAGAGTGGTTCTCCTCCTCCTCCTGGCTCAGTACCTGGGCTGGATTCTCCTCATCCTCTATGTCAGAAGCCCTCCCTCCAGCTCCGTCCAAATCCTGATCAGACCCACTTTCCCTCAGAATGTCATCGTCCGAGAGCTCCTGCTGCTCCTCTGCGTCTTCTGGAGAGCAAGGGTCCTGTTCAGGGCTCTCGGCCACATCCATCAGTACCCACGGTTCTGCAAAAGAAAGAGAACACTGATTCGTAGCATTTAGCAAAATGGAAAGTAAACCTTGTCCTAATTTTCCTAGCCCATGCTCCTTCCTGACCTGAAGGAGGGAAGCAAGACCTCTACTTTGCTTGGCCCATAGAGTTCCTCCAAAATCCCACACACATTCTGCAGAGAAAGACAAGCCACACATGAATGAACTCTGCTCAGTTAAGCTGTGTGTTAAGGCCTCCTATCTTCAGCAGTCTGCAGAACGAGATACGGCCCAGCACAGCCCTCCCACTCTCACGAGCAGTCCCCACAAGTTAATAGAAAGTGAGCAATAAGATAGGGGTTACAAAAAAAAAGATAGGGGTTACAAGAGACACTATTTGGTTTCTTAGAGTAAATTACATTTGAAATTCAATAAAATTTACATTATGGAATGAGCTAGCAAACTTGAAAGCACACATTTGACCATTTTCCTGGAGTCACCCAAGAAGACTGAAGCAGAAACCTGGGCAAGCCGTTAGTAGTTTGCAATTTTGGAGCCTTCTCCTGTTAATGGGTGCACTTCTCAGAGTGCGGCCTCTGACTGCCTCAGAGTCCCTCAGCGTTCCTCTAAAGACATAGGCTTCAGGACCTCACCACACACCCATGCACGGCGCTTAGAGGGCGGCGTTCACACATCCAGTGACCTACACGCCAGAGTGGAGAATACTGTTCCCATGCGGTATTCGTCATGGAAAAGAACTGTGGCAGAAAATGTGGCACATTTAAGTAGTGTGTCTATGTGAAAGAATGGCAGTGTCCTTTTAGGAGACTCCATTTCTATTTTTACTCATCCAGATTTAATTATAAAGTGAATACTTTCTGGTTTTCTGGCCTCAATAACTCATAGAAAGTACATTGGTCCATCTGCTTTAAAGGTAGATCGCATGAGGCGGGTTAAGAGCACAGGCAGGTGTAGACACCAACACCCAATGGTCTATAAGCACACGTCTGCCTCTACCAATGCAGGGGGCGGCAAGTCACTGCCGAGTTCATGGAACAACAGAAGTAGTGAAGAGTGCAATGCTGACTTCACCCTTCATTCTGTGAGGCGGCTGAAAATTTTTTGTTTAAAATAATGTATGTCACAGTCATGTTGCTTGTTATCTCAGCAAGACCTAGAACAGTTTATCCATCCCAAGATTACCATGGGTTTAGACGAAGCAAGTCGTACTAAATTATTTACACAATTTTATATGTTTTATATATTTGTATATTAAAGATAAAAATATATCTTTTAAATTTAAACTTTTAAAAAGAAAACCTGTTTAAAGATGCATAGTATCAAGAGTCGGTATCTGAACCTATAGTTAGACCTTTTTTTTTTTTGGCTATTGTTGGAAATAACTGAGCACATATGAGGACAAATCACTTCAAATTCCTCACTTTAAAAAACTAAATGATTAGCAATAATATAAATTTACAAACCAACCAATCTATTCTAACTCACTTAAAAGTAGACAGTTTTGAAAATGATTCACTTTTTCAGTTTTCCAACTACACTATCCAGTTACTATCTAGAAGTAAGACTACTGGAAGGAAATAAATAGTCTTAAAATGGTGTACTCCGGGGCTGGCCCGGTGGCGCACTGCTACAGTGCGCCGCTTGGGAAGTGCGGCGGCGCTCCCACGGAGGGTTCGGATCCCACATACAGACCGGCCGCTCACTGGCTGAGCGAGGAGCGGGGGCAACACCGAGGGTTGCGATCCCGTTGCCGGTCCGGTACGGGCGCGACACTGAGGGTTGCGATCCGTTACCGGGCACAAAAAAAAAAAAAGACAAAAAGACAAAAAAAAAAAAAAAAAAAAAAAAAAAAAAAAAAAAAAAAAAAAAAATGGTGTACTCTACTGAAAACTAGAAAGTGGAGGAGGTTATCCTGACAGCTTCCTGGTCTCCATGCAGTGTCCTCCCTGCAGTTTTCCTGCAGCCTCAGGCAGTGAGCAAGGATGAAAAGCTACCACTGTTCAAGACTGGAAGGGTGAGGGGAGGGTGTTACAGCAATAAGTTAGGGGCTAGTGGCAAACTAGTAATCACCTCCCATCCATAGTTAATGATACAAATAATACCATACACCTATCTTGGTACAGTTTTTATTACATTGTATATTTAAAAATCTTGTCCACAGAAGGGCTCAGCTTTTCCTCTCCCAGCAGCCTAAGCATAGCAACTGATATCCAAGAGGAAGACAGTCATGCTGAACTGGTCACTGAGTCTTGCATACTCTGACTCAAACAAGACAAATTCTAATTCTCCCATTTTATAGCTAATGGCAACCTTGGAAACAAAGTTATCTCCTGAGTCAACCAACTGTTAATGCAAAACTAAAAAGTACATGATTAATACTGTGCTGAAAACACCCACCCAAGCCTGCCATTGGCCTTGGAACATACTATCCTGTTCAAAACCATGCTTTGCACAAACTCTCAAATACTGGTAACAGCTCTTTTCTGGATCCCCTTTGGTTTTATTGTCATGAGGCCCAACCAAATTGTTTTCTATATTTTGGCAAACTTGACATGAAATCCTAGGGTAAGAAACAGAAGAAAAAGAGTACCTTACTTTTCAAATATCTGAACTAACGTAAGAAGTGGACTAGTGAACAGCAGGCAGGTTGCCTTTTAGTATGCTGTTTACTTCATGGGATACATGGGATAGTGCAAACAAGTTTGGGCTTCTGAGCTAAAACTCTAATTCCAGCTCTACTGCTTCCTAGGTTTTGGATCTTGGGCAAATTACATAAACTTGCCAGTCCTCAGTTTCTTCACCTGAAATATGGGGACAGCACATACTTCATGAGGTTGCTGCAACGATTTGATGAGATGCCTCTGATAATGTGACTGGCACGTGCTTGACACACCTTAATTTAAAGGGAATTGGCTCAAGATGAGTGGATGTGACCCTCAACCTACAGAAACCACACTCCTGTAACCCCTGCTGGGGCCGGCTCAACTCTCCTGTGGCACTCAGGAATGACTTGTTCACTGTCTCGTTCCCTGAACACCTGAGGTTCTACTCACTGTGAGAATGCATTATGAAAACAATTTCTGCAGCAAAGCCACCAGCCACGACTGGTTGGTTGAAAGACTCCTGTCAGATACTTGACTATTTCCTCACATCATTTTTGATCCACACCTTCAAATAAGGGTTGTTTCCCCTGCACAGATAAGGAAACCAAGGCCACATGGCTACTGAGTGGATAGCCGGGGACTGTAGCTCAAACCTGCTTCCAGCATGTGCTGGACAACAGTGCCCTGGACTAAGGAAGATACGAGCTGCTGCTCCTGCCTGGGAGCCAAGCCCTGCTTTTAACCATTGTTTCTATAGGAAAGTAGGACCCAAGCTCCAAACTGCCTTTGTAGATTCTTTTTTGGAACACAGGCCAAGCATACGTTCAGGGTCGTCCACTGAACCAGTAGATTTTGCCTGTTTTTCTTTTCTCCCTTTTAAAGTTTCATGCTGATCCATTTATACTAATATCTCAACTCTTATAGAACCAAAACACATCCTCATACAGATGGAAAAGCACAGATTACTAGTTAAAAAATAATGATGACCATACGGAGACCCAACTTTTGACATTGGTCATTTATTCAAGGATTTTAAACTTTATTCTATGAGTTTAAACATTGGGCACTTAAACTAAACATGAATCTAATTAAAAAAAAACCTCAAAAGGTGTACCACCTTTACAATGAGATTACAGGAAATGCCAACTAAAATTAAAACCCCGAGAGGCAGGTGAAATAATTTCAAGAAGCACTTATTGAGCCCTCATACCCTCCAGAGTTTGATCTGTAGGAATTACTTCAGCATTTCAAAGATGCAAAATAAACTTCTCCCAATTCTTTTCAGCAGTCAACAGAAAGTGTCCAAGTGAATGACATTGAGAGCATCTGTTTCTACCCAAGGTACCCCAGTTCTTCAAGTCAGTGGTGTCTTTTGGGGATCACAGACAGCTAGGAGAATCTGATGGAGGGTATGGCTCCTCTCCCTAGAAAAGCCTGGATACACACAACTTATCCTCTACTGCAGGAGTGCAAAACCTCCTGAGGCCCACCCATGGTTCTCAGATTAAGAATACTTGTCTCGGAATATTGTACATTAATCTATTACATGTCCATACTTACCAACTGTATAGCAACTATTTGTTTGCAAGGAATGTTGGGAGACCCCCACCCCCACCGAGGGCTTGAGTGGGAAAGCACAGACCCATGTCTGTGTTCCCTGAGCTCAGCAAAGGGCTGGCACTTAGTAGCACAGCTACCATATAATTTGTCTAAACTGGGACATTTTTGAGACAAAGGGGGCACTATTAACAATTACAGCATGCATGAACAGGGGTTACCCTAGGCAGACTGGGACATACACTCACCTTCAGGAGGCCCTGACAAGTTTCCTGAGGAAAAGAGTCATATCGCCTTTTTCCTATGGAACCTCCTAGGATTTTTACTATCAGAGGATACACACAGGTGAACACATTTTACAGAAAATCATGCCAATGAATCTACCTGTTTATTAGAAGCAACCTGGGACACACCCTGTGGGAGAGGAGGAAGGCCACTAGGAATCAGGAGTTGGCTTGAGTTTCAGGCCACGCTCTGGGAGGTTTAACCGTCTCTGAGCATCAGTGTCCTGTTTTAAGATTAGTTGAATTTGGCGGATATCTGAGGACTATATGCTGGGTTCTAGGAAAGGAAACACCATAGCCTCCTAAGTGCAAACAATGAAATGGAAGGTCCTCTGGTCAAGTATCAACTGACTCCCACGTTTATAATTTTTGCTCAGTTTGATCTTCTTACACAATCACCCTATAACCACGGATTCTCAACATGATTTAGAGCTAAATCTTTACTCCTCTGATCCACAAGATGGTGAACCTGCCCAGGGAATGGAATAACAAGTGCTCATCACTGTGTCCCTGCATCACCTACTACACTAAGCAAACAATGCTTAATAAATGCCTATTGAATACATAAGAGAAAATCTTGTTACTTAAGGAACTACTCGTTGCATACCAGAAAGAAGTTTAAAATAAGTGTCTAATTTGTAAAGACTGTACTGGAATTCACACACAGCGATGCTGCCTACCATTCCCAGAAGCACCCTGGGAGGCCGTGCTGATTCCACTGGCACTGCTGAAATGCACAACATTTTGGGAACTTCTCTTTTTCAGCGACCCTCAAAACCTGCAGAACACTCTCTTGGTGCTATGAATGGTGGCAAATTTTCCTCTTCTTAAGGTGGGTGACTTTAAGAAACTGCTGCAGGTCATTCAGAACCAGGTCTGGTGAGGTGAGCTATCAAGCCAGGTAAGACAACTTTTGGTCAAACACAGGGTGTGACTATTGAGTAAGACCGATTTTCTTATATGGCTTACATACTTACTACCAAAACGGGAGCTCTGAAGAGGTTTCGGGAAAGGAGCACCAATGAAATACAAGCACAATCTTTTGGGACAGTTACTTTCAACAGAGCAGTCCCCATTTGAATGCCTAAGTTCTGGTACATCTAGTTAAAATTCTGATTCATAACTTCATGGACTTACAAAATCTAAAGGAAGATGTCAGACACCACTCCCCAACTGACTAAGTTTGACCACCAGAACCACTCCTCGATAAGGAAGTACCCACCTTGAAGTGATCTGTAGCTGTAATAAAGTAAAGAACCTCTTTCAACATGAGCAAGGCCACAGCTTGCATGTCTGCTTTCTGGAGTCATTCCACAAAGCTTCCTTACAATGTCTGAGCATTTCCCACCTACAATGGGAAAAGAGTTCCAGGCTTTGGGACACATTTGACTGGTTCCAGAGCTGACTGGGCTCCACACATGTGCTCAGATGGTACAATCATCAGGCAGACTCTCCTCCCAGGTCTGGGGAGTGGAAATCGGCCTAGGTCCAGGCTCACCCTGAGAATAACAACCACTGCCCTAGGAAAGGGACCACTCCACAGGCAATATGATGGAGCTGAGTCTCAAAGGAGAAATGATGAGGGCCTTGCTACATCCCAAACAGTACTTCAGAAGCCAAACACCCTCTTCTTCCAGTTCCCTTGAACGGGCCTGAAGAGCGACCTAGTGCTGTTAATGAGTTTGCTAAACAAAGCTCATTTAAAACGATCAACCACTCTGCCGGAAAACTCAGCTGTCATAAAGCATCCCGAAAACAAGCTTTAGTAGGAGCAAGACTGTAAGTCTTGAAGTCTTTTTCCAGCATCACGGCTGCAGTTCCTTTACACCAAGGGCCCGGCATCCTGTGGGCCCCTAACCGAAGGGACAAGGAAGTCTCATATTCCTAGGGAACGGGCGCACGTGTATACTGCGTCCAAACTGCGCGCGCTGAGGCTGCGGAAGCAGTTCCAAGAAGCTCCCGAAGGCTCCAAGCCCCCGGAGGGCGCAGCAGCGGCTCGGGCTGGCCTGCGCCGGAGGCGGACTTGCGCTCCTCCCACCCGTGTGGCGGCGGACGTGTGCCACGCGAGTGGCCCGGAAGAGAAATGACAGCTTCAGGAAAATAAACGCCGCTGCGGGCGCGGGGGAGCCCCGGGGCAGGCTGGGCCCGGCCCGCGCGGGCGGAACGTGGGC